TTTTTTTACCTCCCTCTCTGCCTGGGTTCAAAAATTATTTTTTTATCATTGTCAATGTAGGAATTATGTTTTGCATTATAAATAACTAGAGTAACATACTGAGATAAACTGAAAAAAGCAGATTTTAAAATGAATTTTTGGATGCTAACAAGCTGCTGTCATTGCAGGTAGAAATTCTATGTTTTTAAACACATTACTGATAGCTATTAAAATAAAGTGTCAAATGTGAAATAATTTCATTTTAAAGGTTTTAGTTTTTATTTATTATCTTAACTTCCACCCAAGTTAAATCAATACTTTGTTTGAGCTGTTTAGGGTAAAATACTCCTGGCATCTCTCTAAAATTATGGAGTGAATTTTTCTTCATTATTGCTCCACACAAAAAAATGTATTTGTATTTGGAAATAAATTTTAAAAAAAAAGCAATACTGAAATGAACCTTTTACAAACTTTCATTTTTTTTTTTTTTATATATATATTATCTTTTTCAAAAAAGTTTCTGTCCTTTCATAGATTTTTTTTTTTCAAATTTTCTATTTTCACATTTTTGCCATTTTTCTTTTTACAATTTTCTAAAATATATATTTTTTTAATTTCCCTTTGCTTCCGACTGAGTTTAAAAGAAGTCATTCTTTTCAAGTTGAATTTTTCAGATCCCATTCCCCTGAAGGGGCGGGGCTTTCCTCTGGGCTGAGGAGTGGGCATATTTCTGTTGGTCTGCATAGGTTAGCAAATTAAAATATGAAGAATAAATTAGAAAAATTAAAACATCTGGGTTACACTTCAAACATTTTCTTTGTTAGTTTCAATTCTGGATTGGATATTTCAAGTTATAAAATATGGTATTTCCTTGCAACAATATTAGCACAAAATTCACTCCGTATATAAGTGTTTTATTACAGTTGACTTCCCTTTGTTCGGTGTTTGGAAGAAAGCAAAAAAACGTTAAAACAAAGGAGCGCTCAGCAAGAAAAGTTGTGGAACCCCTGAGCTGAGGAAGGATCAGACAGACCCCGATTCATTTCTTTAACTTTTAAAGTGGAAATATTGCAATATTTCAGTAGATTCAAAATGGGAATGTTGCAATATTTCATCAGGCCATATTGGTATTGATTCAAGATATGGTCAAAGGAATCGTAATTGAGAAAACAAAAATATATAGAAAAACATCCATGTGGTAGTTTTACTCTTCTACACTGTATGTTTTGACTTTCATAGTGAAAAGTTACTGACCTCTCTCTTCTTTCTAAGTAGGATAACTTGCAGTTTGGTAGCTAAATAAATACTTTTCCCCCCACTGTATACTATTTACTATTGGAAGTGGCCATGTTTGCATTTATTTCATACAATTCAGTAAAATTAATAAATCAAGAATCATGAGAAAACTGTATGTGGTATAAAAAGTAGAGTAAAAAAGTATATGGTTAAATATAGGGTGAATTTTGTTCCATTATTTTTGCAAAGAAACATGTTTTGTAAATTTGGAAAAGTACAAATTTCTTTGTAACTTTGGTTTTTCAAATCGCATTTTACAGATCATAATCTCTTTTCACTTCTGGGGCGGGCTTTCCTCTGATGCGAGGAACGAAGGCGCATTTCTATTGGTCGGCAGGATGCTAGCAACTATTCTTATTGGTCAAGAGCAAAGGTTTTGTATTGGCCTAGAAGTGGAGATAATGGGATCTCTATTTGTGAAAAGAATGCAGAAATCTGAAAATAAAATCTGAAATCTTTTAAAAAATAGTGAAAATAAAGTCAAAAAACAACAAATTAAAGACAATAAAATGTGGGGAAAAAGTGAGAGAACTTTGAAAAACTTTTTTATTAGGAGGTTTTTCAAGGGTTTAATTCTGGATTGCATTTTTGTCAAACTTTCATTTAAATATTGTGATCTTTGTTTGCAGCAATAATGGAAATAAATTGACTCCATAGTTGCTTTACTATATATATCATATAAATATATTATATATATAAAATTGATGTATAAATCTAAAGTGCAAATTTTTTTTTTGTCCTGATCCCTGAAGTGTAATCGATGGAAAGTCCCTGGCAAATGTAAACTGGGAAAGCAGGCAGCTCGGTTTTAAAGATGCCTCTGCTGGATTAAAACCTGCGTGCTTCTCCAGCCTCTGGAGGATATCTGACAGCAGACTATCTTTTACTTTATAAACATAACTGAGCTCCTCAGTATGTGGGCCGTATTGTCAAACGAGAAGGGGAACTCCAAACACTCCACCGGAGTGCGGATGAGGCTATTTGCTGCAGCGTTGCCTGCTGTGTTTATGTAATGAAGCTGACTTCTCACCCTCTCCCCCTTTAAACGACTGCTCCTATAAAAAGCCAGCTGATAGAGCTGCAGGCTCCGAGCTGCCAGCCAGGATCCTGATATCCTGCAGCAGCTGATATGCTGACCCTCTCCTTCCTGCATGTTCTCCAAACACCTTAATAAAACCTTTTCTTATAAAACTGAACGGGACTCTTTGATGTACAGCGAGGTGCTTGGCTGCAAACTTTACAGCTTTACACGCATGCATGAAGGGGCTTAAAACTCTCTGAGTCGTCACAAGCCGATCCTGTGGATTAGTGGATCCTGTTTGCAAATACTCAACGGTAAAACTTGAGTAAATGTATTGATACTCCTGGTAAAATGTAACTAAACTACCATAAAAGTTACTTATTCAAACATCAAGTTAAAGCACTCACTTTTGAAAATACTTAAGTACTCAAAAATACAAATTTTAGTATTTTCTAAATGAAATGTTCTGTACATTTCTATATAATTTTCAATAAGTCATTTTAAAGAACCTTGTAACCTTGTTATACCAGGTTACTAAAACCTCATACAACACCTGATTATACGACGATGTACAGC